CTCTATTGTGAACAGTGAGTGTGTACACGTGTGTGTGTGTGTGTGTGTGTGTGAGAGAGAGAGAGAGAGAGAGAGAGCGAGAGAGAGAGAGAATGTTATATGTGGTGAAGGAACCCCCAATCTCCAAGTAGAAATATCAGGTTGACCTATACCTGACACTCAACATTTGGGCACAAAGGCACCAAGAACCCTGAGCTGGTTGTTGCAGATGAAGGAACTAACTAATTAATAAAGAAATAATGAATGAATGAATGAATAAAAACTGGGGCTAAGGAAAGAAAAAATTTAAAAATAAAACTCGGTTTTCTAAGTTGCTGGAAACCTCCAATTTGGGTTCTGAGACTGGGTCTTCCCTACCCAGCAGGCTTCAGGTTCCCTCTTAGTAAACACCTAGTCAGAAGGGTTCCAGTATTCCTTATAGAAAAAGTGACTTTCTCCCTTTCTCCTCTGCCAAATTTGCTTTAGAGACACTTCCAAGGGTTCTGCCCTCCACTGCCACCCTCCTCTTGCTGAACCTCTTCCTGCTTTATGCCAGTCCATCCCTCCAACTTTCCAACCTTTCCTGACCATTCCCAAACCTTTCTTACCCTTGCCATCCCACAGACCTATGGCCACTCCCTGGGGTCATGGTGGCAAAGCCAAGTCTAATCTTCCCTGCTCACCAGATAAGTACAATGACCCTCCCCAACCCCAGCAAACACATACTCTCCAGGGTAAGGTTCTTCGATGCCTAGAGAGCAATCAAATGAACACCTAAAAGTTAATCTCTGAAGACTCTCAGTTTATCTACATTCTGTCCCCTACTCCATGACCCCTCTTTTCCATCCACCCCTGCCCTTTGCCCAGGGAACCAGAGCCCAGTGGCCCAGGTGAGGATGGCAAAGGCAATCACGTGGGATTTCCGTTGTAAAATGGGGCCTCGTGCAGGGATCACATCCCACTTTCCTGGCTCTACAGTCTCCTGTCCACTTAAGGATTGTGCTTGCTAATGGAAAGAAAAATAGGCGTGATTACTCACAAAGGCTTTTTCTCTGCTCCCCCTACCCACCCACCCACCCCCACATACACACACACACACACACACACACACATACACACACACTCCAACCCCAGTACTTAAAGGAGACATGTGGTTCTCCCTGGTGTCAGGGGCCTGTGTCACAGCAGTGAGATGAGGAGGTGATGGAGAAACCTGGCTGGGGAAGGTTTCCCCATGGGTTTGTCAGGGCTGAGCCCCAGAAGGGTGTTTATGGGTGTCTAAAGGGGGTCAAGGACTCACTTGGACTGAGGTCTAAGCATTATTAAAAGGCCAACTCACCTGCTGGAAAGGTTTCCTGATCATTAGAATATCCGATGTGAAGAATTTCTGGGTGAGAAGAAGTCGGGTCAGCAGAGCAGGGTATCCCTGCTGGAGCCTCTCACAACCCAGCACCCGCAGCCCCACACTTCCTCCTCTGGGCCAGGTGTGCAGCTTTGCTCAATGATCCTGGGGACCCCTTGCATCAGAATCACCTGGGACACTTGTGGAAACTCATTAGAGTCCCTGACCTCACTCCATACCTTCTGCAACAGGCTCTCTAAAAGGGAAGCTAGAACCTGCAGTTTCCAAAGGCACCTGGGTGATGGTTACCCACTCCAGTCTCACATTGGAGAACTGCCTTGTCCACGGAAAGAAATCGCCTCTTTCCTGCCCTTTGCCTTCCTCTCCTGACTCTCCTCCCTCACACATCTACTCCTCCCCTGCCCTCCTCCTGGGTGGTTTCACATTTCACATAGAGAAATGTTCATAGTTCTGAAACTTGCCTAACAATCATATTGACGTGTTTGACAAGGGCCAGGAGTCCATGAAGGAAGGAGACAGGGAAAAAGCAGTCCCATTATAGGAGACCCCAAGACCATGGTGACGCAGTAGCCAGGGAGAAGAGAGTCCAAGGCGGGAATAATCAAGTGTGTGGTTGTTGATGATGTGAGTAAATTCCCAGGAGGACAGACTGCAGTGGGGCCAGGCATGGACAGCAGGTAGGGAGTGAGCAGGGTGCAGAAGATTCTTTAAGGAAGTGGGCAGTGAGGGGACACTGGGTGGGAAGAGGGGACATGCCTGAGTGAGGGGTTATGAGATGACAGAGACCTGACCAAGGTTCCTGCACCCTTTTGTGGTCAGGTCAGGGGAAGGGTCCAGGTGAGCTGGAGGGAGGGAAGATAGATTTGGCTCAGCCACCTTATCAGACATTTATCTCCATCAGCTCTGGAGCTAAGATCTCACTTTCACTTCATAGATAACATGGAGGACAGAGGAATTCTTATTTTCTCCAAAGCCACAAAGCAAGCAACTTATTGAACTGTTCTGTGTATTACTTTACACTATGAGGTGTTAGGAGGGTGAAATTAGTTCATGGAAGTGCAATGCTCGCTGCACTGGGCCATTTACTCTTTCTAAAATTTCCTTCTAGTCACCCTTAGGCCTGAACTGTTGAAACAGACAAGCTTCGTGCACCCCCTAGTGGGCAGGAAATGCCTTGCAGACACTGCTGTGAGGTTAGCCTTTGGAATCTAACTCCATTTAGTTCACACTTGTCAACACCACAAAACATAATTTTGAAGTTTCAGTTCAGCCACTGACCCCACAAAATTGAAGAACTCATACTCATTCCATCTACAGCCAGTGACAGGAGGTCTCTGACAGTCGGACCCAACCTTCACCAGATATTACAGAGAGGACTCTATTGTGAACAGTGAGTGTGTACACGTGTGTGTGTGTGTGTGTGTGTGTGAGAGAGAGAGAGAGAGAGAGAGAGCGAGAGAGAGAGAGAATGTTATATGTGGTGAAGGAACCCCCAATCTCCAAGTAGAAATATCAGGTTGACCTATACCTGACACTCAACATTTGGGCACAAAGGCACCAAGAACCCTGAGCTGGTTGTTGCAGATGAAGGAACTAACTAATTAATAAAGAAATAATGAATGAATGAATGAATAAAAACTGGGGCTAAGGAAAGAAAAAATTTAAAAATAAAACTCGGTTTTCTAAGTTGCTGGAAACCTCCAATTTGGGTTCTGAGATTGGGTCTTCCCTACCCAGCAGGCTTCAGGTTCCCTCTTAGTAAACACCTAGTCAGAAGGGTTCCAGTATTCCTTATAGAAAAAGTGTCTTTCTCCCTTTCTCCTCTGCCAAATTTGCTTTAGAGACACTTCCAAGGGTTCTGTCCTCCACTGCCACCCTCCTCTTGCTGAACCTCTTCCTGCTTTATGCCAGTCCATCCCTCCAACTTTCCAACCTTTCCTGACCATTCCCAAACCTTTCTTACCCTTGCCATCCCACAGACCTATGGCCACTCCCTGGGGTCATGGTGGCAAAGCCAAGTCTAATCTACCCTGCTCACCAGATAAGTACAATGACCCTCCCCAACCCCAGCAAACACATACTCTCCAGGGTAAGGTTCTTCGATGCCTAGAGAGCAATCAAATGAACACCTAAAAGTTAATCTCTGAAGACTCTCAGTTTATCTACATTCTGTCCCCTACTCCATGACCCCTCTTTTCCATCCACCCCTGCCCTTTGCCCAGGGAACCAGAGCCCAGTGGCCCAGGTGAGGATGGCAAAGGCAATCACGTGGGATTTCCGTTGTAAAATGGGGCCTCGTGCAGGGATCACATCCCACTTTCCTGGCTCTACAGTCTCCTGTCCACTTAAGGATTGTGCTTGCTAATGGAAAGAAAAATAGGCGTGATTACTCACAAAGGCTTTTTCTCTGCTCCCCCTACCCACCCACCCACCCCCACATACACACACACACACACACACACACACATACACACACACTCCAACCCCAGTACTTAAAGGAGACATGTGGTTCTCCCTGGTGTCAGGGGCCTGTGTCACAGCAGTGAGATGAGGAGGTGATGGAGAAACCTGGCTGGGGAAGGTTTCCCCATGGGTTTGTCAGGGCTGAGCCCCAGAAGGGTGTTTATGGGTGTCTAAAGGGGGTCAAGGACTCACTTGGACTGAGGTCTAAGCATTATTAAAAGGCCAACTCACCTGCTGGAAAGGTTTCCTGATCATTAGAATATCCGATGTGAAGAATTTCTGGGTGAGAAGAAGTCGGGTCAGCAGAGCAGGGTATCCTTCTAGTCACCCTTAGGCCTGAACTGTTGAAACAGACAAGCTTCGTGTACTCCCTAGTGGGCAGGAAATGACTTGCAGACACTGCTGTGAGGTTAGCCTTTGGAATCTAACTCCATTTAGTTCACACTTGTCAACACTTTCAAAACATAATTTTGAAGTTTCAGTTCAGTCACTGACCCCACAAAATTGAAGACTTCATACTCATTCCATCTACAGCCAGTGATAGGAAGTATCTCACAGCAGCACCCACCTTCACCAGATGTTGCAGGGAGGACTCTATAGTGAACAGTGAATGTGTGTGTGTGAGTGAGAGAGAGAGAGAGAGAGAGAGAGAGAGAGAGAGAGAGAGATCCTATATAATAAAAGGATAATATGCAAATTGACTGAACAGCACAACAGCCGTTTGCTATGATGCGGACTGACCACCAGGGGACAAATGCTCAATGTAGGAGCTGCCCCTTGGTGGTCAGTGCACTCCCACAGGGGGAGCCCTGCTCACCCAGAAGCCCGGCTCACGGCTGGTGAGCACAGTGGGGGCAGCACTAAGGTTGTCCAACTGACGGGGAGCAGTCTTAAGCCAGCAGTTGGATATCCCTCGAGGGCTCCCATTCTGCAAAATCGTGCAGGCCAGGCTGAGCGGTCCCACCCCTTGCCTCCCCACCCCAAGTGCACGAATGTCATTCACCAGGCCTCTAGTATACTGGAGGGCAAAGTTCATGCACAGGGGAGGGTGTGTCCCTCAACCCGGCCTGCACCCTCTCCAATCTGGGACCCCTCGGGGGATGTCCTACTCTACTCACAATCCAGGATTGCTGGCTCCTACCTGCTCGCCTGCCTGCTTGCCTGATTGCCCCTAACCGCTTCTGCCTGCCAGCCTGATCACCCTCTAACTGCTCCCCTGTCATCCTGATTGATGCCTAACTGCTCCCCTGCTGGCCTGGTAACCCCTAACTGCCCTCCCCTGCTGGCCTGATCGTGCCCCTAACTGCCCTCCCCTGCTGGCCTGGTCTCCCCCAACTGCCCTCCCCTGCTAGCCATCTTGTGGTGACCATCTTGTGGCGGCCACCTTTTGGTGGCCATCTTACAGTGGCCATCTTGTGATGACATAGCACAATGCCACCTAGGCTTTTATTTTATAGGACAGTGATGGCGAACCTTTCGAGCTCAGCATGCCAGCATTTTGAAAAACCCTACCTTAACTCTGGTGCCATGTCACATATAGAAATTTCTTGATATCTGCAACCATAGTAAATCAAAGGCTTATATTTTTGATATTTATTTTATATATTTAAATACCATTTGACAAAGAAAAATTAACCAAAAAAATGAGCTTGTGTGTCACCTCTGACATGCATATCATAGGTTCACCATCACTGATATAGGATAAAGACAGAGATAGAGATAGAGATAGAGATAGAGATAGAGATAGAGATAGAGATAGAGATAGAAGTGGAAAGTGTTCTGTATGGGGAGTGCAGCCTCTGATCTCTGAGGAGCTGGACCCCACCTCAGGTTGGCTTCTCCCTTCGACTCCACATTTGAGCAGGAGAGGCCAAGGACCCTGAGCTGGTTGTGTTTACAACATCCACTATTCGACCCTGTTTGTAGTTATATTTGATGCAAATGGTTCTCCCGTATGAAGTTGAAACCCACTGTGTATTGTAGAAAGGTGCATCTTGATGCAGGTGAGGGAGGGAGTGATGCAGACACAATTCTGCATTTATGGTTAGGGCTCTGCCTCTGCAGTTTTGTTTGTGGTTGTGCCGATATGTTATGGCCTTTACCGTGGGGGTATGGGTAACCTGGGAGGTCTCTGTGGCTCCCCGAAGTGAGCTGCTGAGAGTGGGGGGACCTGGAATAGAGATGGGTGGTTGTAGGATCATGCTTCGCCCAGCACTAAGCACACCTCCACATTGGGCACTACTTCTGTCTCTCTGCCTCCCAGAGCAACAATTCAGTGGGATCTTGCATAGAGTTGGCTGTAGTTAGTGATGATGTGTGCACTGGACAGCTGGGAAAGGCTGCTTCTCTCTCTGAACAGGTAGAAAGGCCAAGGTTGCTTGATGATGGTCTCCCCTTCTCATTTCTCTTCCCAGGAGAAGCAGGCCCCCATGCCCGACTGCCTCCTTCAGCCTCTGCTTACCCCATTCTCTGCCATAGAAAACCAGCTGCTTCCTCGTATAGGCCAGCACCGAGCCCTTCGGCACAATCAGCTTCTTCTCTCTCACTTTGAGACCTCCTCCCTGTCCTTCACCCTGGGAACAGAAGCCAGGTGACACCGTCATACATGCATGTCGTTTTAAAGTCAAAAACATCTAGAAAGCTCATGAGAAAAGGGATCAGCAGCCCCCTGCCCGCGCCCCTCTACTCCTGGTTTCTAGTTCCTGCTCTTTTTTCCTTATTTCATCCATGTTTACCTTCACATCCCTCAATTTCATGTTGGTACTGCAATGATTTGATTTTTCAGATTCAAGTACATCTAGTCACTTCCTCTTGTTGATGAAGCTTTCATTTTCCTACTCTTTATAGGAGCCAAAGCAATTGATAAAAGCAAAATACCCAACTCCAACCTCTTCTAATCTTCCATGCAGGTCAAGGGCATCATCCAAATCTAGTTCCCTCTACCCTCCTGCCACATCCAAGAGGGGAGAGAGCACTGAGAAGCTCTTGGGAGTCCACAGCCCAGGGCACAGGCTCACTAAAAAGAAAATGCTGGGACCCACTCATAGGATTATAGAGTGCTTCCCTTCTCATACATCTGCCGCCATATCACTAAAGGCCGATTTACCAGAGTTCCTTTATCACATGTATCATGTCCAACTTTCAACAAAAACAAAAATTACTAGGCATATTCAAAGGCAACAAACACCATTTTAAAAGACAGGTCAAGCTGAGAATCAGACTCAATTATAACATAGATATTGGAATGCTTAGCCTGGGAATTTTAAACCACTGTGATTAGTTTGCTAAGAGAGCTAATAGAAAACAGACAAAATGCAAGAGCCGATGGGTAATGTAAGCAGAGAGATGAAAATTATAAGAAAAAAATCAGAAAGAAATGCTAGAGAGATAAGAAAACTACAAGAGAAATAAAGAAACCCTTTGTTTGGCTCATTAGTAGACTGGACACAAGTGAGAGAAAAGCCTCTGCACTTGAGGAAATCTCAACAGAAATCTCAAAACTGAAAAGCAAAGAGAAAAATGACTAAAAAATGAAACATAATATCCAAGAACTGTGGGACAACTACAAAAGTTGTAACATACATGTAATGATAATATAAGGAGAAGAGAAAGGAACAGAAGAAATATTTGAAACAATAATAACTGAGGATTTCCCCCAAGTTAATGTCAGACATGAAATCACAGATCTGGGAAGCTCAGAGAACTCCAAGCAATAAAAATAAAGTTTAAAATTTTAGGCCTATGAATTCAAACTGCAAAAAACAACGGGTAAAGAAAATATATTAAAAGTAAGGGGATATTGAAAGAAGTCAGATATTCCTTGTTTGCTGTTATTTCCACTATTTGGGGGGGGGGGGGCTTTATGATTTTATACCTTGTTCAATAGGAACATGACAATAAGATATTTGAGGATACAAGTAAGACTCAATATCTTGCTATAAAAGGAAAATGAATTTTAGTTCTACAAAAAAAATAGTTTGAGATTTGTAAAGCTTTTTTGTTATTAGGTAGTTCTTCCATTTAATTTCAATTGTGGTAAAAATAAAAAACCACCAAAAATGTAGTATTTCACCAATTTTAGGTGTACAGTACAGTATTGTATTTTCATTTTCATTTATCTAGAGATATTTTCTGATTTCCCTCATGGTATCTTCTTTGACCCATGGGAGGTTCAAGAGTGTATTTCTTAGTGTCCATATATTTGTGAAATTGTTAGTTTTCCATTTTTTATTGATCTCTAGTTTCATTCCACTGTGGCAGAAAAGATTTCTGGTATAACTTTAGGCTTTTTAAACTTGGTCAGATTGATAAGGTGTCTGGAGAACTTTCCAGGTGTGCTCCTCTCCACCATGTCCTGTTTATTTCTTTTAGGAAATATAGTTCAATTCATCTACATGCCCCTGCTCAAGTCCTCCATTGCCTTATTGATCTTTTGTCTGATTGCCCAAAACAAAATTGAGGCAACCATGCCCAAGGTGATCCCCAACCTTTTTAACAACATCCCACCCCGTGGCCAACACTTAGCTCCTGTCTGCCTGGGAACAGCGGTGACAGTGGGGGCGGGGGGGGGGGGGGGGGGCGGCGGGCAGGGTGTGACCCAAGATTGTCTCCTGTTCTCAGAAAGCCAGTTTCACAACCAAAGCAGATGGAAACCGAAAGCTGAAAATCAAATACCCTTCACACTGGAGCAATGTTTCACTTGTTCAAACTCCCCTCCTCTGAGACAAAATCACCAACCTTGGGGAAATCAGTTCACAGTCCCGTTTTTTTCCTTGAGTTTCTAATTCTTCTAAGTGAGGACAAACTACACATAAAATATATAATGTGTAAGAGCACATTGTAACACACACTATCTGATAAATGAATTTACTTATTTAATTGAAAGTACTATCGTTGGTTTTTGTGAGTGAGTTATATCATTTCTATGAGCCTGAAGGCATTTAAATCTCCCACCTGCTACCCATCCTTCTCAGGAAGCCACAGCATTTAGGGAACTTCAACCACTGAGGTTTGGTAGTGGGGTCTCGCATTTCTTCCAGCATAAACCCCTTTAGATTTGCCAGAATCCATCCCTTACCAAAGCAAATGTAAGACCACATAATTAAATCTACTTCCTATTTTATCGATCAGTGTCCCCACCTCATACCTTGACAAAAATATTCAGAGGGAAGAAGAATTTCCCTGAGACATTCGCGCTGCTGAGATCCGGCAGCACAGGGCTGTTGCACAGCTCCACGGTGTCGGTCACAACATACAGATTCACCCCTGCTTCCCGGCACTGCTTCAGGAGGGCTGGCTCTGGGTCCAGCAGTTTCCTGCAGGGAAGAGAGGGTCAGAGTGGGAAGAGATGCCTTCCCAGGTGGCCCTGGGTCACCCTCCTCCTCAGGACCTGGAAGGGGTGTTTCTGCCACAGGCAGAAATATCCTGGCACATGGGGTCAGTTCCCAAGGAAAGTGAAACATCTTCTTTGCTATGCAGGGTGGAGGGGCCCCCATTTTCTGATGGGGGCGTGGGAAGGAGAGTACGCAGGCCATTTTATGAAAGGCATCGGCATTTTCCAAAATTATATTGGTCCTATTAGAGGGGCAGTTTATAGATGCCCAGTGCCAGGGCCTCCCACCTGAAGAGGCCGGGAGTGGACAAGTCCACGTGGTTGACAACAGTCCCCAGGGAGCCCGACCATTGTCCAGAGGCACAGCCCGGGTGGGGTGGGGCAAACAGATAAACGTGATGAAGCAGGAGGTGCTGGATGAGTTTCCACGACAAGCACATGGGGATGTGGAAAGAGTAACTGTCCCTGGCAGGTGGCTGGAAGTGCTGCCATGAAGATGCAGGTCTGGGCAGGGGATGTGATGGGTTGAAAGTACTGAAGACGGATTTCATCTGCATTTCCGTTCTCAGGCTCAACTCTCATTCCACTAAAGGCCCCACTGGGTTGGCGCCCTGTAGAGAGCGGAGGGAAATACTGAGAGATCCTTGCATTGCTTTTCAGTGGAGGAGGTCACTGAGCCTCCAGTGTGGGTCTTCCCGTCGCCCTTTGTGAGTCAAGGCCCTTACCGTGTCTCTAAGATGTTGTGTCATCTGACATTCACTCACCTCCAAGCCTCACTTCTGTCACCTTCATCCTGGTTGGCTAAGCTCCCACCTCACTGACTTCCCGCGGCTCCTGAAAAACGCCAGGCTGGTCCTGGTCCAGGCTTCAAACCCCTCATCTGGGCCACTTTCCTCCTGCCCTTTGCTCCCTTTATTCTGCAGGTCTCAGTTCAACTGTTAGCTCCACAGAGAGACCTAAATAGGCCCCTCCCTCCAGCCCCTCTTCCACCAGCTCCTGACACTACCCACATACATTTATCAAAAGTGTTTCACTGCCTTTCTTCTCACATTGCCAGTTTGACCTCAGACAGACTTTTTTCCCTTGGTGCTGGATAATAAAAAGTGTCCCTCAAATTGGAGCCTCTTCAACTGCTGAAAAATTTCTAGGACAAATTTTATTTTATTTTCCTGCAGTTAAAACCCAAATACTCTTTTACACCATAAAGTCTTTGTAAATGTTAGTGCTAATAAGTCTTACAAGACACCAGGAGAAACTGTGCCACACCCGGTCAAAGTAGCTTTCAGTCTCCAATAGCCTGGGATTTTCACTAGTTGCTTTAGTACTTCTTTGCACTGATAGAAATACTATTTAGGCCTGGCCTGTGTTGCTCAGTGGTTCTGTGTCAACCTGTGAACCAGGAGGTCACAGTTCAAATCCCAATCAGGGCACATGCCTGTGTTGCCGGCTCGATCCCCAGTATGGGGTGTGCAGGAGGCAGCCAATCTCTCTCATCATTGATGTTTCTATCGCTGTCTCCCTCTCCCTTCCTCTCTGAAATCAATAAAAAAATATTTTTAAATGAAATACTCTTTAAATTGAAATCTTTGTTTCTAAAAGGTCTTTTTTCACAGGCACTGAGGTAAATTAGATTCTAAGACTCTGAGCCATACTTTGTTTAAACAGAGTTTCAGAGCCTTTGCCTCACTTAAATGAATACTTTAACTTATTTTTTATTGCTTATTTTTCTCACTCACTGCATAT